AATATTTTAAAGCTTTGAATTCACTTGAAATGAATAGTTTTTTTTTACTCATTTCAGAAAATAAAACTCATCATTTCCAGTTCAACCAGAACCAAAAAACAACACAGAGTCCAAATGATTTCCATTTATAAACATTTATTTTGTGAAACCGAGTGAAATTAGAATCGCAGCTTCTGGAAGAACCACTTGTTCTTGCCCGTCTTGTACCTGGAAGCAGAAAAAAAGAAATTTAGCAAGAAGCCAACATGTTAATGTTGGAAACTGTTAATGTTGGAAACTGCTCCGACCTCTCCTCAAACTTGACCTTGGCCTCCCGCCTGGCTTTGCGTTTGAGAGCAGGATCCCTGAAGACGTCCTTGTTGACGACGGTTTTGTCCAGAGGAATATCCACCGAGTATCTGAGGACGAAGAGGAAACGAGCTCAACTACAGCAGAGAGATGTTCAAAAACTATTTCTGTTCACCTCTTCAAAAAAACGAGCGGCAAAAAAAAAGAAAATGATGAACTGATTAGAGCAGGAAAATTGATTTTAGTAATCAATTGGTAATGCTGACAATAATTCTAATGACCAATAATTCTGACATCTAGTAGATCTGGTGATTAATTGATTATTTGGGTGATTAATATGTAATACTAATGATTAATTCTGATTATTAGATTAAAAAAAATGACATTCTGCAGATTTTTCCATTTAACCACTTAAAACCTTTTATTAAATATTAGAAATACATTGAAAGATCCAAATAAACAATTCAATCCCAAATCCAAAATAATGTAAATATTTTATTCCAATTAAAATGCAATAGCAGCATTCCTTTAGAAACATGGTGAAGCTAAAACACATTTACAAAACGTTTTAATCTTAAATGCGACATGGATGTTTTATTTTCTGTAGTGGCGACTTTGGTTAAGGTCTGTATACTATTGTTACAGATTAACTGATTACCAAATTGTTTGACAATCATTTCAACAATCGATTAATCACAATTAATCGTTTCAACCCTAAAAAGTGGGAAAGCAAATCAGAGTTTTAATCCTGAGCTGATTTGCTCTTTGAGTGGAAAGTTTGGTGGATAAATAAACCTGAAATGTTTTTATCTGCTGACAGAAACAGAATCCAATTAGAGACGCACCAATCAGGTAGCAGCTCTGATTTAAACAGATTATCCCAATGTACACTGTAAAAGCTTATATTATTAACCTTTTATTTTTATGAAACACAAGAGAAACGAATGGGACTGAAGATGGTGTAGCGTTGTGGTTAGGATGCATTTAATGGACTGGAGCAGAGAAAAGAAAAGGTGAGTTTCTGACCTGGTGGGCATGAGGTGGTTGTAGTTGAAAACTTTGACGAAAGCCTTGATCTTGGATCTCTTGGCGATCTTCTTCTTGCCCATGATGGTGGTCACCTTACGGGGGTAGCGGTCGATGCCGGCGACCAGAGCGTGGCTGTAGGGGCGGTCGGTGGTGCCGTCGTCGATATTCTGCAAAGAGAAGAACAACAAACAGTTTACTGCCAAATAAACATTTCATTTACCTCCTAACCCATCTAGTTAGACAAAAAATGAGACTGAAGAACATTAAACCTCCAAGTCTGTCAGTAAGTCATAATGCAGCCGTTTGAAAATTTTGGGGTATAGAACCACATTAGTGTCAGATGGGATTCTCTTTATTTGGTGAAATGATCAGAATTGGGTTGTTTAAAAAGAAAAGGTCAGATAATCACATCAGGGGGAAAACAAGAACAATGGATTTGGGTCACATTTGATTGAAAGTCCTGCTAATGATCTAAATACTTTGCGCAGAGCAAATAAGACGCCAAGAACAATTTACAGGAATGTTAAAGATAAATTTCACACTAGAATATTCTTCTAACAGCAAAAAGTCAATTTGGTTTGATTTTATGTTTTTAAATGTATAAAATCAGCAGCTCAAACAATTATGAACCAGCCACACTATTTGTTGACATTAATAATAAATTGTCTTTTTTTTTTATGTAATTGTTGATTTAAGCCATGGAACGTGAAAGTTTGATTCACTTGCTGTTTATTCATTCATTCATATCCACACAATCAAATACACTTTCTAACTAGACTAGCATTTCAGCCAAATTTTATACTCTTCTTAATCATGTTGCCTTGTAAAGATGAAAACTATGAACCCAGTCTCTACATTTTGTATAAATATATTTTCTTTGCTGCAGGACAGTAAGTCCAGGAAACATCAGTTTATACCTTGACGATAACAGCTTTGCGCCCGGCGTAGCGTCCAGCCAGGACCATCACCACCTTCCCCGGCTTCATAAACTTGCCCATTTCTGTCAGAAAGGAGTAAATCTATTAAAATCGACACAGACGTAGCTCAGAATAATCAGATTTTATTATCGCCTTGCTGTTGCTCCCGGACAACCAAGCTAGTTAGCATTTAGCTAACTGTAAGCTATCAAACAAGCGTGTTTATATACGTAATATTCACTCTGTTAAGCACTTTGGATGTTTCTAAAGTTAGATGGGTTGCTTGACAAAGAACACATCCACATAAAATCAGAATATGTTCAAATAATTATATAATACGCCACTAAAAGTAAGGTGCAGCTTTAGCCCTAAGAAGGCTGCCATGTTGGAAAGTGCGCTGGGGAAGAGATCCAATAGCAGCAAAACATCTAATTTTCATCTTTAATCAAACATAAACTCACTAAATATCCGGTCGAGTTTGACACTAGGGAGGGTAATCTGTGCAATACCGCGGTATTAACAACATATTAGCCCAGATTAAACCCGATGGAAGTGGATTATTTTGAGGAAAAATTCACTCACTGACGCTTCTCTTCGGCAGCCGCTAACAGGAAAAGGAAGTCCAGAGGGCAAACGTGAAGTACGTCACTTCCTAAATCATTTTATTTTGGAAATATCGGGATTATCTTTTAAGAAAAATTTTTTTTTCAAACATCTAAATGTGAAATGTAAATACTTTTTACATTTCAAACATGTTTAAAATTTTAGCATTTTAAAATACGGACTTTAAATAAGTACGAACTTATTACGGACTTAGGAGGAACTTAAAGGTTCCTCCTTTCTTTTACATTTGATTTAATAGTATTGAACATATACTTACTTAATATTCTGTATTTCTCAACATTATGGAACTAGATTGTAGAAAAAGAAAACCTAAATTCTGTAAATTATAAAGAAAAAAAGATTATTAACAATGTTGTATCGCAAAGTAAAACACATGACTGATATATAATATTTGAAGACTGGGATACTTTATTATGTACACATTTATACACAATGCATAGATAGGTAGAACGGTAGATAGATGAGGGAATGTGGCGCCCCCTGGAGGTTGCAGACGAAAGAAACGGAGATAAAAAAAGACACTTCATTTACTTAGTTTATTATTTTACAACTGCAGGTTTACATTAAATATAATAAAACCAAAAATAACAATTCATATGTTCCCACATACCATCTTCAATTAAATAAATATAGCATTAATTGTTTTCAGTGATGCTCCCAGATTGAACTGCTACGGTTACAGAACAGCAGCCACTTTAGTGTTTAAAGTGATTTATCTAATAAATAAACATAAACAAAAACTAAAAAGTGTGGAGTAAATATACCCAAAACACAACTGAAGTTTGGAAAAGTGCTCTACACTGAAGGTTTGACACAAACGCATGAACAAAATAAACAACAAATACAAACTAACGTCAGTTTAATAGCATCTACGGTTCATACATTCAGGTTTTTACGGACATGATTTGCTGTTCATGGAAAATAAAATTAAATCTGGAATAAAAATGATCACCAGCAGCAGCTCAGTCAACAAGAAAACAGTCAGAACTGAAACACAGGAACACATTCGGTGGTTCATTTGACCAAAAAGCTGCAGGACAACAGCAACCACCCATACACACGTAGAGCTTTTATTTTGGTGATTTTTGCTACACAGAAGCTTCCTGTTTGCATAACAGCATCCAGAGTTATAAACAAGAACTAGAGAGTTTATCAGGAATGTTTCTGCTCCTCTTCCTTCACTAACGGTATCCATGGCAACGTACACTGCAAAAACACAAAATCTTACCAACTATTTTTGTCTAGTTTCTAGAGAAAATATCTCGGTAAACTCAAAATAAGACAAAACTTCTAAATGTAAAATGTAAAATAAGAGTCAGTAATTCCACAATATTGATCAATATTTCATCAATATTGATGAGTTACTTATTTAAAACCAGCTCTGTACAAAAACACTGTAAGATTTAGTGTTTTTGCAGTGTATGTCTCCTCAGGATGTTTGCTGCATAGGTTGGGGCGCCAGCAGGTCCAGCAGAGGAAGAAGCTGCTGAGCAAAGGTCACAAAGAGCGTTAGGCTAAAGGCTAAAGGTGAGGTCATCGCAGGTGACTCTACACTGCAAAAACACTAAATCAAAAGTATTTTTTCTCTATTTTCTTAGTACACTTAAAATAAGACAAAACTAACTCACAAGCAACTTTTCAGCAAGATATAGGAGCTTGTTTTCAGTAAATAATGCTTGAATATTCATAAAAAAGTACACATTTCCATGGCAACAGGATATTTTTCCCTATGTTAAAAGTGAAACACTGATTTTTATCAATATCCAGTAATTACTGACTTAAAGCAAGCTGGTATTTCCTGCTGAAATGTTACTTGCGATTTAGTTTTGCCTTATTTTAAACATAATAAGACATTTGAAACACTTGGTAGTACTTTGTGTTTTTGCAGCGTAAGGCATGTTTAGAGAAGCAGGCCAACACATTCATGCAGACGAGCTTAACGGGTTAGAGTACACTGCAAAAACACTAAATCTTTTTGGTCTAGTTTCTTAGTACACTTGAAATAAGACAAAACTAACTTTTCAGCAAGATATAGGGATTTTTTAGTACATAGTTCTTGAGTTTTGATAAAAAAGTACTAGTTTCCAAGGCAACAAGACATTTTTCCCTATGTTATAAGTGAAGTAATCTGCCAGTGAGTTATTTTTATCAATATTCAATAATTACTGACTTAAAACCAGCTGGTATTTCTTGCTGAATTGTTAGTTGTGGTTTAGTTTTGTCTTATTTTAAGCGTAATGAGACATTTTGAACAGAAGCTCCTGGTCAGACTTTGTGTTTTTGCAGTGGCCGCCGCCGCAGAGCGCCTCGTCAGAAGGCGTCCTTGATGTTCTTGAGCTGCCGCACGGCCAGGTCCACCGGCAGGTTGAAGCGCAGGTGGCTGATGCGGCCCAGGATGCGCAGGGCGCCCTCGAAGCCCGTCTGGGCCATGTAGCTCCAGCTCTGGTAGTGAGGCTGGATCAGAACGGACGACTTGCAGAGCAGGTTGATCCAGGAAACCAGCCGCTGCTCGTTCAGCGCCATGCACACCAGCGCCTTGAGCTCCGAGTCCGGCCCGCGCTTGTAGCGGCCGTGCTCCTTCAGCACCGAGTGGACGGCCCACAGCAGCGAGTGTTTGGGCGTCACCGTCCCCGGGCCGCCGCCCACCTTCAGGCTGAAGGACTGCGACAGCTTTCGGGCCGGCGATTCCACGAACGCCTTCCCGTTTTTGGACTCGTAGTACTTGACGAAGAGTTCCCAGGGGTGCATGGCGAGCGGGGCGGGGCGGTAGGGCAGCAGGCAGGAGATGGGCGCCAGCACCAGGCTCATGGTCTGCGAGGGGCAGAACAGGCCGTGGGCCAGCAGGTCCTTCAGCGCCACCGCCAGCTCCTTCCTCACCGCCGTCGTCAGCTCGTCCCGGGCGCCCAGCGCCGCCGCCGCCCCGCCGCTGTAGCTCACCACGTGCTCCACGGAGGGATGGCGCCGTGAGCCCAGGACCCGGACCTTCTCCACGGCCGCCTCCAGGCGCTGCAGCAGGGGGCCGTAGTCCCGGCCCGGACAGTCCTGGGGCCAAAGGTTCTGGGGGACGTGGCCGGCCGAGCAGCCAAACTGACTGGCAGCGAAGATCTGCAGCACGGCCAGAGCCTTCTGGATGAGCTGCAGGCCCGTGTCCCGCATCCGCTCAGCCTGGACCGGGTCCACTGTGGGGGGCAGAAACACAGGGAGAGGCAGTTTGATGAACTGGGACTCTGACGGTTTCACCAACTATAATTTAAGACCATTACGAATTAGGTTTAGGACCTTTATCACTATTTTAAGACTCTCTGATTGCCTGTAATAAACTGACCTTTCTTCTTCATCCCTGCAGCTCTGCCGTTGGCTCCGTCCGCTTTCGGCAGCTGGCTCCGCACTCCGTCTGACAAAAGAGGGTTCCCCACCTCATCTTTAGGAAGGAAAGACATAAATATGATTAAAAGAGACAATCTAACAAGAATAAACCCCAGAGTGAACAGGTGTGTGTCCTGCGTACCCTGTATGAAGTTAATGAACATCTCCAGGTCCCTGATCTGCGTCTTCAGCTGCTCCACCAGCTGCTCCTTCACTCGGGCCGGGTTCACGATCTGAGCGATGGCGGCGTCCACCCGCTGCCTCAGCTCCTCCGGGGACAAGTTCCCGATGTCCTCGTTCAGATTCACGTCCAGCTTCTTTATCAGCTCGTCAATGATGACCTGGAAACAGAAACAGGCTGAAGGTGAAACCGGAAACAAAACATGAAAATCACTTTGGGGGTATTTCCATCAAGGTTTGGGCATGAAACCAAACAAACTACAGCCAGGGTGTTACATCAATTCTAATATTATCTTTGGCTTTTTAAAGATTTAATTTTTGAAACATCTGGATTTCAGCTTCCATAGTTTGGACTGATGTCAGCACAAACAAGGCGGCCATCTTGTTTGACAGCTTCTATTTATATGAACTTTGAATTCAGGTCAATATTAGGAAGAGGTGGGCAGACAACCAAAAACTGCACTCAAGTAAGAGTATTACTACTACTACATATTTTTACTAAAGTAAAAGTATCAATCTAAGAAATTACTCAAGTAAGAGTGAAAAGTATCTGGGAAAAAGTCAAATTAAGTAACTGATCAAATTATTTAAAAATTACATCATCAGACGGACCACAATATAAAGCTAAGTGGAAATTTTTGTATTTTAATGACCAAAATGACAATAATTCATAAAAGTAGCAAAAAATAACAAAATCAGGCAAAAGAAAATGTTTCCAAATCAGTTTCTTTGAATAAAAAACTTATGAAGCTTTAACAGAAACTGCAGGTGTGTGTCTGATGAATTCTTGGTTAAAACATGTTTGTTTTCATTTAGTGGGTAAGAAAAAGAATATTTTTTACAGCGCAGTAAAAATACTCCTAAAATTACTTTTTTACGTTTTTGTAAAATAATCTTATTAAAACATTTTGGTAATAAAAGACATGTAATTAACATTTAATAGAAAACCTGAAAACACAAAACTAATAAAACTGTGTTTTTAAAAAAAAGAAAGAAAAGCTGGAAGTAGAGACCGTTGCCTTGTGTTTTTCTTCCTGTCTGATTCTTATCAGTAAACGCCATTAGCACCAGAAAAAATATATTTTTGAGGAAAAGAAAAAAAAACTGGAAACTGAAAGATATTTACCCTCCTTTATAAGGAGGTAAAGAAACCTCACCCAGTTCCTGTCATGTCAACATTTCCTCATCTAAAAAAATTCATTGTCGATTTTCATCACACTAATCAGAGAATTCCAGAAGCCGTTTACCCGTGACTTCCTTGAATGCAACACTGAGGTATGTAAACACGGAAAGTGGCGTTGCTTCTGGGAAAGCCAAACAAGTTCATATTTGTCTAAATATAACTTCAACTCTGCACAAGATTTCTCATTGGTAGGAGAGCACAGAATTAGGGATGCAAGTTATCAATGAATGAGTTAATCTAAAGTTGATTGATCTTATTGACTAAAGATTAATCGATAAGCAGCCAATTTCTCTTTCCATAACAAAAAAGGGCTATATTTTTCAGAATATACTGAATTTAAAAAAGCATCTGATTTTAGCGTTATTTTGTGTCAGCTGGAATTAAATGCTGACTGAGTAAATAGAAAATTTGCATTTTTCTCATATTAATCTTTGGCATATTCATAAAATATAAAAACAAGGACCAATTGGGTTGTTAAAGGATCGAATATGTGAAAGATGACGGAGAATTATGGGCATTGTAGACAAAAAAAAAGTCAAAAGTCAAAAATTTATGAGAAAAAAAGTCAGAAATTTTTAGATGAATCTCAAAAATGTTGTACAAAAAAGTTGAAACTTTCTGAGTTTGAAAAGTCAAAAATTTGCAAGAAAATACTCAGAAATTTTGTAGAAAAAATTAAACATTTCTGACAGTTGAAACTCAGAAATGTCCAAGTTTTTACTAAGTTGGACAGTTTCTCTTTACCGTTCTGGGGTATCAGGCTCCTTCAGGATTACCAGCGGCGCCCTCTGCTGGCTGGCGGTCAAACTACAACACTAAAGAAGATCTAAGCGGACGTTGTTAGTTGATGATTGGAACTCATTTTAATCTAATAAACCACTAATCAACATTTAATGGTTATTTAATTGTTTGCATCCCCAATCTGAATGTTTCATATCTTAGCGTGTTGGACTTAATATGCCTGATGTTTATAAGTGGTAGAACAACCTGTGGATTTTATGATGTGAGACATGACGCATGAGATGTGACGCATGTTTGCATTTCCACACCTTCTGCCTCTCCATGACGACGGACTGTGGCAGCGAGTCGTAGCTGCCCTCCTGATAGGCGAAGCGCTCCAGATCGTCCAGCTGCGTCTTCAGCTGGACGATGAGATCCTTTTGTTTTTCCCTCTGCGCCTCCAGTCGCTCCCGCTTCTCCCTCTCGCTCTGACAGGACACACACAAACACACACCGATTATAAATCAACCACACACACGCCTCTCAGAAGCTGCTTTTGGCGCAATGTTTACACGAGATCTACTCACCAGATCTTCCTGCAAATGAAGCATGTGACAAAAGAAACAAAAGAGGCTTTTAAATTAAACACAACAAGCTGAAAATTCCCATCAGCAGGAAAAGCAGCGGGAACAAAGCGGCTGTTTTTAAAGCAGATAGTGATCTGCTGCTGCAGGAGGTTTCAACAAGGCAACATTTCCACCACAGATCTGGAAACACCATGGTAATTACGCATCTGTATTAGCAGAAAAACCACTTCGCATGCAGCATAAACTAAAGCTTGAAATAGAAATAGAAAGGATAAAAAGCACTGGTAGTTCTGAATGCAAAAGACAATGTGTAGCATCAACATTTGTGTCTAAAAGAATGTCTCTAAACTACGTTTTTTACTAAACAACAAAAAATTCCACCCGAGTGCAAGCTTTGAAAGCAAAAGTGGTTTGAGTTCTTAGCTTTTTCCAGGAAAAACTGATATTTTGTCATAGCTTAGTTCTGTGTAAGACATAAAATATAAACAAAGATATTTTTTGGACTTAAAAACAGAAACACTTGGTGTAGTATGAATTTATTTTGTTTTTCTAACAAAGTTATGACTTTTCAAAGTCAGAAATGTCCTTTTTTTGAAAAAGAAGAAAATTTCTGATGTTAATCTCAAAATTTCTTTTCATTCTAACATTTTTGATTTCTCAAACGTGTACATTCTCAATCTAAAAAATGTCAATATTTTTATAATAAATTTTAGATTTTTTAAACTCAGAAATGTCCAAGTTTCTTTTTTTAATTCTGAGATTAATTTCAAAATTTTGGAGTTTCACCCTTCCACCTTTTTGTTCAAATTTTCATTTAGAGATAGATAATTAAAATATTTATTTGCTTGAACTCCGATTATTAAATGCTTCCTTTTCTGTTAAATATATTGTTTGTTTGTGTGTGTACCTTCCCTCTGATAAGCCTAACCACACCAGAAACAATACTCTTATATTATTAAACCATTAAATGTATTTCTGAACCAGAATTAACTGGAAGTCTCACCGAGTTCTCCAGCTGCTTGGCATCCTGGGCTCGGCAGCCCACGACGTGCGGGCAGCCCCTGAAGGCGAACTCCTCCAGCTCGGCCAGCATCCTCTCCTTCTCCTCGGTCTGAGCGTGAACTATCTGCTTCAGTCGGAACTGAACCTGTGCGAAGTGCGACGTTAGCGCTAATAGAGATGAATTCAACAAGTCCTGCTCCTCTTCCAGCTTCATCAGCCGGGCGGCCATCTCCTCATCGGTGGCCGACGACGAGCCTCTCTGCCTCGGCCGGCCGCCGCTCTCCTCCTCGGGGCTGGCCACGGCGCCCACCGGTGCCCATCGCTCCCCGGCGCTGGCGAATACAGTCTCGCTATCCGAAGCTGACAGCTCCTCCGTGGACATTCTGGACGGTGCAGATCACTTCAGAGTTTCCTTCACCCACCGTCGGTTTGCCGACAACGTATTCCCGGTGGTTATTTTATTAAAACTGCGCAAAAATGAAGAGGATCATCGCCAGAGAAACAGGTGCCTCGCCATCTTGGAAAAGATGATTCATACGTAAACAGAGAAAAACGAAAGTTAGCTTCCACAAACAATGACACACCGGAAGTGGAGGGGATTTACCTTCAAAGTAAAAGCATCTCACAAAAAAACAAACAGCAAAGTCAGCATTTAGACAGACAATATTACTTTTTAAAGTTAGCGTGATAAACTACACATTTTTATCAAATTATTGTAAGCGTATATTTTTTGTTATAACACACACAGTACAAGTTACTCTTTAGACCTTCACAATAACGCCTAATAATTTTGACTAAAATGCGTAAGAACGAACAAATGTTTTAAAATGTATCTCTAATAAAAATGGACGATAACTTATTGCATTGAATTTCCACAACAGAATGACATTAAAAGAACCAGCACTTTTTTTAGGGATTTAATGTTTTATTTATTTATTTCAGAAATATAAGTTTACAGGTTGTCTTATTTTTTTTATTTTATTTTATTTTTTCAAAAGGTGCTATATTTTTCGGCCTCTGAGGAAGTTTTATTTAGCTGGAGGGGAAATTTCTCTTTGGACTTTAAAGTTTGCAGAAACCCTGCTCTAATAAGCAATGGCATCATTATCATCTGGGCTTTCCCGAGACATATTAGTATTTAAACTCATTATCCTCACATTTTATTACATAAAATTAAACAAAATTAAGAGTATGTCTCCAAATAAAAAGAGCCTTCATAATTTACATATAATATTTATACAATGACAGTAAAATGCCATAACTTCCTTGAGTTTCCCTTACTTTTAAGTTGACGTTGCATTACATTTACCTTTCTTTCTCTTTTACGTCGCTTCGCGCAGGTTTGTAAAGCTGCTCTTTAACTCTGAGTTCACAGGAAACAGAGTTGGTTCTGGAATTTTCAAAATAAAATTTTTAAATACAATTTTTGCTCAAATTTTGTTCTAGGAAATGTAAATTCTAACCGGTACTGTTACATTTATATATGGGTGCAACAAGTATAGAAGACAAGTTTTTTTGTTTTTTTTTTAAAAGACATATTGTATTTATTTAACATAAAACTGGTATGGACGCAATGCATTTTCCCTCAATTATAATGGTTTAATTGGTCTTCAGTTGCAAATTGACACTAATATGTAGTTTTTTACACAAGGGGAATTCAAAGTATAGTCAGAGGGTCATATGTGGACTTTGGAATTATTTTGTAGAATTCAAGATCAATGTGAATTTGGTTTGCCAAACACAAACAAAAAATCTGTCAGACAATAAGCCCAAAACATGGGAATGTTTTAAAGCCTATCCCTTTTAGACAAAAATCAGACTTTAATATCTTGTATTATTAACATACTGTAGTTTGTTTATTGTAAATAAAAGTAAAAAAAAAAATAGCTTTAACAATTCTAATTAAAAGAAAAAAAGATATTCTAAAAATGTTCAGGCCCCTGAGTATGATAAACCTGATATTTTGGCCAAATTATATTTATATTGCCTATATGGCTTACATACCATCAGCACCCATCATTATAACAGAACAGCTTGGAAATAGCTGTTCACATAAAATACAAAATGTTTTTCTTAATAATGCAGGTTTAGTTTAAAATTGTATTGATCATGTTATTACACAAAAAGAATGACAAAAAACATTTTAATGTAATTTCTTCTTTATTAGTTTCATGGAAAACACAGAAATCATATTTGTTTTTTAATTAAGTTGCACCACTTAAATTAATAGTTTTGCCCGAAATCAATAAGTTTGATTGATGAGAAAATTAAATGAATAATGATCGGTACTTTCTTTTCAATTCAATATGAAGTCTCAGACTGATTTACCAACAAAATAAATGCTAATCATTTAAATGTAACAGTCGATTACAAACTGTCACTGGTTATTACTGATTTGGAGAAAAAATACAGATTATTGACAGAGGAATGCAGATGTGAACAAAAGGCAGCTGCAACAGATCATGACAACAGTGATTTAGTGATTTAGTGAGAAGATTTATGTTGCATTCGGAGTGTTTCAGTTTTATTCTTGATTTGTTAGAGTTTCAAGTATCAAATTATGTGTGCAGGAGAAAAACAACCTTCTGTTGCACCAAACCTGCAGACAGAAACGTTTCAATCCAAGCTCACGTTCCCTAACAGCCTCCTTAAGTGCAATTCATTTTTACTGTTCACCATTTAGCACGTTTTAGAACAAAGTATTAATTGTATTTTATATTTATTTTCTTCATGTAAAAATTAATTTCAGCATGTTTTCATAGAATTAGAGCTCTCTTCTTGTTGGTGGAGAACATGTTCCATGTCTGCCAGTTGAGCCCAGAGTTCTGGACGCAGGAGCCTTCCTCTGTGCAGGTGTAGCCAGCGGGACAGCAGTGCTTCATGTCGCTGCAGCACACCGCCTGCAAGGCCAACAGAGGGCGCTCTAGGTTAAATACATCCATGCAACTCATGACAACAGCACATGATTAAAACATTTTTATGATACATTTCTATGGCTTGCTCCCTTAGTGTTGTTGCTCACGTCAGACAACAGAAAATGCAGTCTTGTTGTCATTATTGTACAAATTCAGACACAATTTCACAGTAATTAAACATATTCTCTCAAGAAAAGCACAAGAAAGTAAACCTAGGGTCAGAAATTAGTTCACTAAAACTGGAAATAATTTAAAAAGAACCTCTGCGACAAATGAAATAAGATAATAGATTAGAATCAGAATTCTGAGTTTGATGTCAGAATGTAATAATTTTTTTGTGGCACTAATCTTTTTCCATACTTATTCTTAGAAATCCAGAAAGTATCCATCTGGTCTAGTGATCAACCACTGGAGTCTGCAGCATCAAATGCATCAGAAGCTTAACGCTGGAGAGTTGTTAAAATAAATCTGTGCATTTTGTGACACTGTGATTAAAGAACTTAGTCTAACTTCACAACTGATTAATTATGCCAAATAAATGCATAATTCAAGGTGTGTGTGTCTGTAAGTGAAGCGTTTCCTACATGAGGAGCCGGGCAGCAGCCCCAGGTGGTGGCAGACGTCCTGCAGCAGGTGTTGTCGTCCGGGCAGCTTTTCTGCTCGTCACACTGGACGACTCTGTGCTTCAGCGGCGCGAGCTCAAGATGGTACTCCGGCAGGAACACCGGTATCAGCGGGAGCGTCTCCAGCTGCAGCAGGATGAGCTTCTGGCAGCTATTGGAGACAACGTCGCAGGTGTAGCCCTCTGGGCAGCAGTGCTCCTTATCCGAGCAGCACACCGCCTGAACAGAAACACCAAGTCTTACATTACAACAGCAAACCCTCCTGCACTCAGCTTCCTTTACAAATGTGCACAAATCTTTTTGTTATTGTGCTTATATTGAAAAATAATAATAATACAATTTCGCAATTCTTAGAATTCTGAGAAAAATAAAACTGTTCTTTAAAGAGGAGGCTGCCAGACGGCAATGGGTGAGAAAAATCATGCAAAAATAATAAATTAATCTCATACACTTTTAATTTGTACTTCAATCTTTTTTTTTAATATAAAATATAAGTTAGAATAATTTATTTTAATGTTATTCCTGATGCTCATTTTCTGATTTAAATTATTTTTATGTTCATGAATCTATTTATTAGCCTTTTGAACTAGTGTGATTTTTTTTCTCATCACACAGTTTACGTCAGCTGTCAGCAAATTACGGCACTCCACATTCCTCCTGGTGGCGCTACGCCAGGGGTGTCCAAACATGCAGGATGCCTGGAGGCCCGGCATCCTGCATGTTTTAGTTCTCTCCCTGTTTTAACACACCTGGATCCAATGATGGTTCGTTAGAAGGCCTAAGGAGAACATTGACCTGCTGAAAAGGTTGTTACTACCACCAGGGAGAGAACTAAAACATGCAGGATGCCGGCGCTCAAGGACCGACTTTGGGAACCCCTGAGCTACGCTAATCTGAAAAACGACGATGGCAAAAGTTGTTTGCTCAACAGTAATTAGATCTATTTATTTTTATTTATTTTTTTTGAAAATTGTATCTTCTTTTGAGAATCCATTACCCTTAAATGTAAACATAATCACAATATTTTAAATTTTTTTAATTCTGCACAAAAAATTAACCAAAGTATGAAAAAACTAAAACTACTACTATAACTAATAAAAACTAAACTAAAAAGTAAGAATATTTAACTAATAGCTAGCAAACACGCTCTAAAACTTCCACTGTAGTTTTACTAAATACATCTATTTCAACACGGGAGAAAAACCATCTTCTCCTAGCGCGAAGAAAAGCAGAACACATGAGGGAAGCTGTGGTGTTCCCATTAAGCGGGTTTATTTTCGTACTTTGAATTTGCGCAATTTTGTGGTCAATGGAAACGCAGCTAATGTCAGTGTGTCCGAGCAGCAGCAGCACGTTACGCTTTACGTCCTTACAGATTACGCACTTATCAGGCGGAAGAAAAAGTAGTTCCAATCAACTCCGTCTCATTTAGACATGATCTTAATAATTTAGTAACTTTCTAACGTGCTCTTCATAAGCTACATTATCTCAAATGGATGAAGTATTGATATTTGGATTTGAGAATCAAATTTAAAGCATATAAGGTCTGGTATCGGGAGATATCGATATTGCAGTATTAATCCGCACATCACTAACAGACACTGATTTCAACACTCAACATTTTCATGGTGGAGGTTCGGAATCGGCCGGTAATCTCACATTTTGCAGCGGGCAGCAGCCCCACTCGCCAGTGAACAGTTTGCAGCAGGAGGTGTGTTCAGGACACTGGTGGTCGTCGTCGCACTGGACGTTGTTGGGATCAACCTGGACCCTCGTAATGGCGGGGAGTTTGGTGTACCACGGGATCTCCACTTCTCCTCTGATGCACGTGGTCTTGTCCTCGTTACATTTGTAGTTTTCCGGGCAACAATGGCTGCCGTCGGCGCAACACACGGCCTGGTAGAAGAAGTGAGAGTTGGAAGCGTGACTTTCACATCAGCCAAGCGGTTATATTGTTACTTCTGCTTTCTTCAGTAGTAAGACCAAACTCTCAGTCACAGGGAAAAAAGATGCATTTAGATTTAAATTCACCACTTCCTGTGCCATGATTTGACATTAAAGACACCGACACTTATCTCTCATGACAGTACTTAGATCAAAAACCGAAACACAAGGATTTATTTACACAATGTAATTTTTTTCAGGCACTTATTACTGTTAATTTTAATTATTCTGGAAAACAGCTAACATAAACCAAAAATGTAGCTTTGATATGGCCAATTATTATTATGCTCTGACAGCCATCAAAATTAATTTAAGCCATAAACTGAAAGAACACAAATATTACCAAGTTTTTTTGTCTAGTTTCTAGTGCAAATATGTTAGTACAATTAAACTAAAACAAAACTAGTAGACAAGTAACTTTTAGATAACATGTAGGAGCTTGTTTATGTCAACAATTCCTTAATATTGTTTAAAAAACAATTAATGAAATTAAAATGCTCCAGTAAGTGTAATAAAACTCAACAGATTGTTTTTTGGTCAGATTGAACACTCTGCTGCCTGTACTCTAGTGAAGTGTGACAGTTGTGTGGGTGATGATATATTTATTCATATGACAGAAATCAGAATTGAAAGTAAGTTTAAAGGCCAGAAATATCAGCTGGGTTGTCCGTGACTGAATTAACCGTCTAGTTTCAAATCTTCTCTGTGCCTTTTGCAGCATCGTTTAATTTGACTCTTTTTTTAATGCTGGTGGTGAATTTTGCCTCTTGGATGCCAAATATAAGCTTTTTTTTTTTTTTTAATGTTTCATCAGGTTATCAGCTTAATTTAAGTCTTTATTTCCTTATATTGATGGAAAAGTTCCAGTTACATAATTTAAAACATGTCTTGTTATAATTGAATTAATCTGCCAATAACTAGTACTTTGATTTGTATCAATATTAAGGAATTATTAAATATTGACAGATCAAATTTCTTGCTGAAAAGTTACTTATAAGTCAGTTTTGTCTTATTTAAAGTGTACTAAGATTTTTGCACTAAAAACTAGACCAAAATATTTGGTAAAAATTTGCATTTTTGGAGTGTAATTATTTAAATATCTATTATAAGTAAATATACGCCTCTCGAGAAAATGAACCAAAATATTTCCTATTATGAGGAATCTACATCAATAATAGGGGTTACTATTCTTGTTTTACAACTTACTATTTACATTAAATAGCTTCTTCCTGTTTGTTTGCACAACTTTGACATTTAGCTTCATTTGCAGGCATTCATTTCTACGACTAACTTCTCCTTTTTTACCACAAAAGACTCAGACTTATAGAGCCATTGTGAAGTTGGATCGGTATCTGTACTGGAAGGCTAGCCATAATCAGCTGTGCAGTTCTAGTTTTCCTTCAATAAATGAAAATGCATTCTGGTACTTAAACTACATTATTATTAAGAAATTAACGCAGTTCAGATTCACGAGTCACATTTTTATAGCACTGCTTTGGCTATAAATTCTTTATAAGTTTAATTATGCAGCTTAAGAGTGTTTACACACCTCAAAGTTTGGTAAACTCGTGACTAAAGTTGCAACATTTTCTACATTTCTAGCTGCTGTGGTTCAGTTTCATACAAGAGTGAATTTGGGTCATTGTAGATAGAAAATTTTAAAATGTTTGACTTTTGTAAATTTTCTGAGTTTGAAAAGTTTTTTCTTTTTTTTACTTTTTAACATGTTTCTAGAAAATTTCTTAGATTGCGTAATGAAAAAATATCTGAGTTTTTTGGCAGAAATTTACTTCTATTTTTCATCTACAATGGCCTTAATGCAGCATTGTGCTTCCACACTGCACTGAACCAAATCTTTAGAAAACCTGTTCCCCTCCTCGCCTGTGGGGGCGCTGCACCAAGAACGACTGAGGGAGATGAAACAAAACCTCTGAAGAAGACAGAGCAGAACTTCCTTTTTCACAAAATCTAAACAAACATGAAGAGGATTTTACTGATTGTAGGATTTCTCTTTTCTCTTCGGCAAAAGACGGTGAACCATTTTTCCTGTTAGCGCTCGGTTAGCATGTTTGTTCTGGTTGTATTTACCCAGAATGCTCTGCCCTGTAACCCATGTTCTGCTTTTTTAACAGTCTCTGGATCGTTCAAAATGCATTCAAATTGTGCCTGAGTTCACTTCAACCAAACAGAGACTGAAGTTTGGAGGTGGATCAGAGTTAACTCTTTTGGTTCGTGTCAGAGTTCGATTACTCATTCACATCTCCTCAAACGAACCAGACTTTCTAGGAAAACAAACTCTACTTGGATTAAGCAAACTAAACCGCGCTAACATGAGTGAACCCTGAGTAGCAGAACTCACCTTTGGCAGTGGGCAGCAGCCCCACTTTTTACACGACTCTATAAAGCAGCAGGTTGTATCCTGAGGGCAGCTGGTGTGTTCATCACACTGATTCCTCTCTTCTTCCTTCTCCTCTTCTTCATCACCTTCCTCTTGTGTGGGTCGCTCATCCTCTTCATTGGTCTTTGCTGGGGTTGTCACCAAGCTTTGGGTTGTTGTGGTGGGTACCGGAGTGGTGAACGCAGCGACCTGCAGCATGAAGGGCGTTGAGGCTGAAGCTTGTAAACAACCAGTGCTGGTCGGGTTACAGGTGGTGCCTTCAGGGCAGCAGTGTTCATGGTCGTCACAGCAGACCGCCTAGCAAATAAAGTGTCAGATAAAAATAAAATACAATAGCAACCATGGGAGAAAGAAGCATAATAGACCACCTTTACAGGTGGTACTTGATACCTTCTGAAGGAAGTGTCTGTACTTCCTTCAGAAATTAGTGTTCATTAGCGATTTAGCAATACCTCTGCTGTTATTCAATGCCACGAGATGATATAGACGATACAACACATTGCATCCAGAAATATAATTTACTACTTGCCATCAGTAGCCAGCGTAGTAGAACGCTAGTAGAACGTTCTACTACGAACCAAAAGAGTTAACTCTGATCCAGAGTTAACTGGTTCAGAGTTAACTCTGATCCACCTCCAAACCTCGGTCCTTAGTTTAATCCCTAATATTTAGGGATTAAACTATTATTAAACTAATAATAGTTTAATCCCTATTATTAGTGATAGATTAGCAAACAGCGGCTGATTAGCCAATTTAAAAATCTGCTCTACTGATAATCTGCCAGAAAATTGGTGTGTGGGTCGCCTTTTTATTTTACAGAACCGAAATGGACCAAATTCTGCAGCACATCTACATATTAAGGTTGTCAAAGTCAAGCTAGCATAACTGAGCTACTTTCTTTCACCGTTCTTTTTTAACTAAAACTTTTTCCTGACAGTTTTATCTAGTTGTTGTAGTATTGATGATAAATAGTAAAGCATTGCATCTCTTTTTCTTTTATATATCATAAATACATTTAAGATTTAGCACATTATGAGAACAATGCTAGTCATTGTCAACAAGCAGATTTTTAGCCACCAGCAGATGAGATGTTGCGATGCAACGACTTCATACCTACTATCTACGAGTTTAGTCCCTAAAACGCAGCTCCAGAAACTATGTTCTTCAAATTCACTGGATGTCAAATGTTGGTTTGCTAACCTTAGGGAGAGGACAGCAGGCCCAGGCACCTTCCTTGTTTTTACAGCAGGTGGTGCCATCAGGACAGGCGGCGGTGTCGTCACATGGCACATTCTTCACCTGTACATCCACACCTGGTCTGGAGATCGCTGGTTTCTTCTCAAACCAGGGGATGGATAGAAGGCCATCGACACATTTTCCTGCTGCCAAGTCACATTTCTTACCATTTGGACAGCAGTGGATAAAATCTTCACAGCAAACAGCCTGAGGACGACACGTTTGGATGAACAGAAACACATAAATTCCCCAAACAGCACAGGTTTAGATTTATTTTTTTGTTATTTTACTCTGTATCTTCACCTCTGGCATAGGACAACAGGCCCAGCCACCCTCTTTGGTTTTACAGCAGGTGGTGCCATCAGGACAGGCGGCGGTGTCGTCACATGGCACATTGTTGACTGAAGGAGGAGAAAGCAGATTTCAGTTGATCCAACTCTCCTGCTGGGAAAATGTATTTTTAAACAGTCCTATCCTAAACATCAGCTTGTGAGAAAAATTGCATTTGTGTCTTTTTAATCAGTGTGTGTAAGTTTACTTGAGTAACTTTTTTGAAAAGATGTACTTTTAGGAGTATTTTACTACGCTGTACTTTTTACTTTTACTTGTGTAAAAGTAAAAATAAAGTATTATGAAGTATTTCTACTTTTACTGGAATAAGGTTTCTGGATTCTCTACCCACTGAATGAAAAACAAAAAATCACCAGACAGACACAGACCTGCAGTTTTTTGTTAAAGTTTCAAAAATGTTACATTTTTGCCTAATTTTGTTATTTTTTTATTAGTTATATGAATTATTGTAATATTGGTGCTTCAAACACCAAAATTTACACTTAACTTTATATTTTGGTCTGTCGGATTATGTAATTTTTAATTTTAAATGACTGATAATTTGATCAGTTACTCAGTACTTCATTGGACTTTTTACAAAAGACTTTTTTACTTTTACTTTAGTAAAATATGGTGAAGTAGTCCTACTTGTATTTGAGTCTAGTGTGGATAATCCTGTTAGTGTGAATGTTACTTAGTCTGAAACTGGCCCTTCCTGGTAAAACTTTCAAGAAGCATAAAGTGAAATTTCACCTCCGTCTGCCTTAGTAACAGATGACACAGTCACTTCCTCCTTCAGAGCAGGAAGCGGATTGGCTGTAGCAGCTTCAGAGGATTTCTTTGCTTCTTCCCCAACGGCTGCCTTTGCAGTAATTTCTTCACCCTCTGGAAAAACAGGCACACACAGATTTCTTTATTATAATGAAGTTTAGCTCACTAATCCTTCATGATGGCACACATTCCTAACTCTGACCGTTCTGATTCTCCCAGTCTGCTCTCTGTCTGGCAGGGAACTTAGCCCACATTGGCAGCTCCTTTTTGGTAGACATGGAAATGCATTTCATTTGTTCAATGTTGCATGTTGTCCCTTCAGGGCAGCAGTGTTTCTTATCATCGCAGCACACAGCCTGTTTGGACAATAAAGTTACACGTCAGCCCAGGATAAGACACAATAAAGACATGATAACTTGGATGTGAGTCAATGTGGATCATGTAAATCATCCATTTGACTTTTCCCTCCTTTACTATCTTACTCACAGTGTGAAGTCCTATTATTAAGGAGCAACATGACTGAAGACTGATTACTGCCTACCTTTGGCATTGGACAGCAACCCCATTTGCCTTCTGGAGTCTCACAGCAGGTCGTTTCATCCGGGCATTCGGACACGCCGTCGCTACACCGGATGGCTGTCACAAGTTCTTAAAAAGAAATACAAAATATTAAACACTAAGACAAAAATGATAGAGCTGAAATGATTAATCACGATTAATCTATTATTGAAATAATCAACTAATTTAGTAATTGGTTAATCATCTCACATCAAGTGAATTCATCCGATCATTTGGACATGTCGTCTCTACAGAGTCAAGAGTTTTTTCACCCAAAACAAAACAACAGAATTATAAAAACTGAAATAATAATGATGGAGCTGAAACGATTAATCGTGATTAATCAATGATTGAAATAATCATCAACTAATTTAGCAATTGATTAATCATTAACAGTAGTATAAAGACTCAAAAAAGATAATTTGCTGACAGAGCATAGTTAGAGCATCAAATAAGCCAAAACTGTAAAATAAACATTTTGCATTAAAATAAAGAAAACAACCTTTGTCTGTAAACTTAAGTTTTAACTTCACCTGGTTCAAATTCTTAAAAAAACAAAACAAAAAAAACATCTTTTGCTTCTCAATTATTAAATTGTTGAATCCAAGAAATAGTCAGCAGATCAGCCATACTCTATTCTGATGTAAATGGGCAGAGTTTTTAGCACAATTGAAATTATTTTTTTAGCTGAAAATGCATTCCTTGCTACAAAAGAAATGCTATGTTATTGCATCTTAGGTGATAAAATGTTTATTTTCTTATCTAAAAAAGTAACTAAATGTATTTGTTTCTATCTTTTTAATGTATTTAATATTGCATAAAAAAAGGCTTACGTGGTTAAATGAACAATCTGCTGATTTAATTACCTGATTAATCGATTCATCATCGGAGTTATTGTTAGTTGCAGCCTTAAATAAAGATTAAAGACTGAAAAATATGAATATTATGATAAGTCCAACCTTTTTTGATGCAGGAGCGGCTGTCAATGCTGCAGTGGTGGCCCTCAGGACAGCAGTGCTTCCCATCAGAGCAGGAAATTCCCTGTTGGACGGCATAAAGTTAGAAAAACATTCCTGAAATCCTCACACTCTCACTTATCCAAAACGACAAGATTGGATTTGTAAATATTTTGTGACAGTTTTTTATGAGACAGATAATCGATCCCCTCCACTGCTTCCCTCAGTTACTATTCCAGTCTGATAAAAATGTACCGTTCCGACCAAAATCTACCAATCAGAGTCAGGAGGAGGGGCTTAGTGCTGTCAATCAACCACATGCGTGAACAACTTACCGTTAGAGGTAAACAGTTTATCCACCATCGGTGGCTATACTAACTGCCCTGAGCATTCATGACAGGCTGTGCTAGCTGCAACTTAGCACAGAGCAAGGGGGAGAATGAGAGATGATGATGATTCACAGCACTGAAACCCGCCTCCTGGCTCTGATTGGTTGTTTCTAGTTAGCGCTGGGACAAGGCAGAGGAGCTAATTTTTTTTCAAAGATTATCTGTCTCATACCGTGCTGTCATAACATAGTCACGACTTCAACAAATACATTACATACTGCAGCTTTAAGGCTCAAAAACAAAAATGTGATTACCTTCGCTAACGGACAGCATCCAAACTTTGTCAAAGCCTTCAGGCAGGAAAACTCAGCAGGGCATCGTGACTGATCGGGACAGATGTTATCATCGTCTTCACCCATGTAGGACTTGATCATCCTGAAGGACTGCACGGACAACAAATGAGGAACACCACTGAAAATACATAGTTCCCACAAGTCTGAACCAAAAGTGATCTGCGCCATCTTAGTAGGCAAGCGCATGCGCAACGCATAGTGGACCCATGGCTTCAGGCAAACAAAAATAAAATATGTGCACAAGCTTGACCAATGTGTGAGACCAAGGTACATTTAAAAAGTGGCTGCTGTTGGGATTGATCCGTATGAGACAGAAAAGGAAAATATGTCAGATGATGTGGACAAGTATTCAAATTGTAACAGAGTAATAGTTGTAATCAGAGCTGAGTAGTACATTTAATCAGTTACACTTACTTGAGTAACATTTTGAAAAAAATTTACTTTTAGTAGTTTTTTTCAATGCTGTACATTTTACTTTTACTTGAGTAATTTTCTTATGAAGTATTTCTACTCTTAATTTAGTAAAACTTGTGGATACTCTACTCATTCTGAGTAGCTTAAGTGAATGAAGAACAAACATATTTTAACCAAACATTCAATAGAAACAGACACACACCTGCAGTTTTTGTTATTTTGGTCTGTCTGATTATGTAATTTTTTAAATGTTTGATCATTTGATTAGTTACTTACTTGAGTAGACTTTTTACCAAATACTTTCTAGTTTGACTTGAGTAGTTTCTTGGACGGCTACTTTTTACTTTTACTTGAGTGAAAATATGTTGAAGTAGTGAAATTGAATACAATTTTGGCTACTCTGCCCAGCCCTGACATACACGTTCGCTACAAGTCCGTCTCAGCTAGCAGCTAAAAGCTACATTAGCTTAGCTAATTTTGCTACTTCGGCAGTAAGTACTACAGTAAATATCACTGATATTCATCTGAGTATTACACAGAGGTGGCTAGAGTACTCAGAAATGAAATTTAATAATAGGTGTAATGTATTTATACAGTTTATAAGTTTGAATGAGGTAAGCACTAGTTCTAATATTGCTGCTTCACGGCTCACTGTTGTCATAGCAACTCCATAGCAACTGCCTGCTAAGATGGCTGTCAGTTACCAAATTCACGGAAGTGTGGTGTGACGTCTCATGAGAACTACGTATACTTAAACCGGGTTTGTGGATGAAAACAAGAGGATGTTATCCATACTTTAGAGACTGTGGGCTGGAGCGCGGATGTCCTTTCGGTCCATGGGATGGACAGAGTGGCATTCACACAGCGGAACGCCTCTGAGTCGCAGATCGTGTCTGAGGGACAGCAGTGGATGTGATCTTCACAGCATTCAGCCTGAAGAGACGGGAGTAGCAGGAACACTTTGACTACCAAAGTTAGTACGGATATCTCCTACTGTGAATGAGGCTAGCTCTTTTATCTGGTTTATACAGTAGTAAAACACCTTCCAGTATGAATAGCGCTACTATAGAATAAGGTTTACTTTAGAGTACAGAAACTTTATCTGCTATGTCAATTTAACTGCGACATGGACCTAATAAGGATAAAACAGTACGTCATAGCTGAAAGTGTCATGAGGTACAAAAGCCTTTCATAATAAAATATTTTCATAAGAATAGTACACATGTGAATAACTGGTGGAGCAAAACTTAAGCAACTCAGGCCAAAATGAAGGTGAAGATGAAGAGAAATACATGCACTGCAAAAACACAAAATCTTACCAAGTATTTTGGTCTATTTTCTAGTGCAATTATCTCAGGACATTTTAAATCGGACAGAACTGACTTACAACTAAATTTTAAGTTAATAATTTCTTAATTTAGATGTAAAAGTAGCCTCATTGACAAATTATTTAACGTACAACATGGGAAAAATGTCTTGTTATAAGTGAAATAATCTACCAATGAAACTAGAACGTTTTAAAATAAATATTGAGGAAATATTGTCTTAAAACAAGGTAATGTTTTTTGCTGAAAAGTTACTAAGTCTTATTTCAAGTATACTAAATTATACTTTTGGCCTAGAAACTAGGCCAAAAATAATTGGTAAGATTTTCTGTTTTTGTAGTGTGAAACATCAAGCTTCTGCTAGCTAAGCTAATCTGAGCTAAACTTGAAGAAAAATAAGGAAATTCTGTTAATTTTTGGAGTCTTGGTTCTTGGTTGTAAAGATATTTAAAATAATAATTTAAAAAAATCAACAAGATGCTACCTGTTACTTCGTTTACAAAATGTTGATCAAAATTTGGTTTTGTAGGAGAGTTTTGACTGGAGGTTGAAAATTCTCACAAAAATGTTGTTTTTCTTATGGAAATAAATATTTTCTGCATGAATAATTGCACTGCTTTTAAACTTTGGAAGCCTAAATTTCTGGCAAAAATAACAGAACAAATGCTTACTCCAGAAATCAGTCACATATGTTGTACTATCTATTTGTGAATACATTACATTGGGGTTTAATTGTATATAATGTTGAGAAATACATAGTTTATTTTGCTATTACAACACTGAGGAAATCCTACTAGACAGTGGAGTATATACTGTAAGTTCCATTTAAGGAACTAAAACTAATCCAAGTCACATGTATAGTTCTACAACACTTTCTTCATTGTTATGTCCATATAAAAATTAAAATTAAGTGTGAAAAACAAATTTCGTAGCATGTTAATAACAAATTGTGTTTGTCTGTGTTGTATTATTTTCAGAAACTTAATAAGAAGAACTATCTTGTATTGTAGTAGTAAAAACATAGTACAGTATCCCACCATTGACATTTAACTGATACCCCAGACAGAAAGATGCTTAGAGAAATGTGTTGTGCAGCCACATGTACCTGATCAAACGGGCAGCAGCCATAGCCATTCGTTGGGCTGCTGCAGCAGGTTTGACCTTCTGCACACCTGCCTCCATCTGGACACTCATCTGCACCAACCACGGCAAAGACAGCCCAACAGATCACAACCCAGGTCTGCATCTGCAAGCAGCGAAAAGTTCTCACGAACAGGAAGTCTCGAAAAAGGAAAATGAAACTTAAACCCCCCTTTTCCACTTTCAGAAATGATTTGAGTCCTCAAATAATTTCAAATAAAAGCATAAAGTGTTAGATTCTAGGGTTTTGCTGAGCAGTTATGCAGAACACCTTGACATTATGATTTAAATAATAATTCTGTCATAAAAATCAGTCTGTGTGAACGGAATATGATGGGTTATTATTTATATTTTACCCCGTTTGAAAGACAGAAACATAGATTTACAGAACCTCAGTGTTTATTTCCTGTAGTAGTACTTCCTTATCATATTGTCTTTGTCTCCCTGCACAAAGGAGAGTGTTGTATTCACAGCACTATCAGCGTCATTAAAATGACAACTAATACATATTTAATATATATAAATATTACGAAGACATGTGAAAGACATATATAATTTGCATAAATATTGAACAACTTAAAGAAAATTCCGAATAAAAAAATCTACTTTTTAAGTTTCAGTCATAAAGGTTTGTTAAATATTTTTAGCATTTTTCCAGCGGATTGAGAGTAAAAGAGGTTTTACAGTGCTCTTACCTTTATTAAAGACAGAAAGGCTGTTGTGAAGTGAGAGTGGAGCTTCCCTGCTGCGTCTCACCACAGTGAATTCCCACACAGAGTCCTGCCGGACCTGCATCAACCCGAGTACGCCCCCATCATGGTCAGAGGGCGGGGAAGCGAAAGGTGGATCTCTAAGTCTCCACTGTGTTTATTCACTAAGCTTAAACTTTTTTCAAGTTGATTGAATTGTTTTTTGTTTGTTTTTGTTTTTTTGTCGTCAAGTAGCATAGTTTGTCGTCCTAACGGGTAACTTAATCTAACAGGAAAATTATTTACATGAAACGTCCTGATGCAGCCAGTGATTTTGCAGCCCACTAGATGGCGCCAAAGCTTCTGGAACAGAAGCAGGCGGACCCGAGTCCGTCCAAACGCTGATCTACAAATAATGCGCTCGGTCAAAAGGATTGTTTCTTTGGTTACGCAGATGTTTTATGAATCTGGGTTTTGCGTACGTGAGCGGTTGTGGAGCAGCAAGGCCAGACACTGGTAACATTTTGTACTCGGCATGCTCTGCAATGGAGCGCCTGAGTAAAACGAATTACCACAGTTTGAGTAACTGACATGAGTGAAGGCACCTATGTTTCAGGAAAAGCCTGGCAGCTAAAGTAAAAGGTGGGTAACGTCAACTCATAATTTATAGCTAAGCTTCGCAGCTTGTAAACAGCAAGATGGCTACCGAGCTAATCAACGTTCTGCAGTTAGCGGTTAGCAAAACACCCACGTTTGAAGACTAGATTCAACAATTTTGTCTGAAACTAAGAGTTCCTGCTCACCATTGTTGAACGCATAGTTTTAGAACATATCGATATTTCACCGAGAAAAAATAATTCTTGGTGTATTTTTCGAGAAAGACAAACGCACTGAAGTCAGTCTCACATTGATGCCTAAAGAAAAAAGGATTATTCCGCTATTTTTAAGGACTCTAAATCCGTTTAGTCCAAGAAACAAAAATAATGATTCGTTAATTATAGACTGTTTTTTTCGATCTACGTATATAGTTTAACATTTCTCCTGAACCTAATGTAAGGAAAGCCTAATTCCTCAAAAGCTGTTAAAACAGCCGTTTACTCAAGCAATCAATCGGAAGCGAACTTCAGCGTTGCGAAAAAGAACATGGTGTTCAACTGCTAAAATGTATGCTAAAAAAACAACAAAAAATGAAGCCTTAATCTAGTCTATTATGAAGCCAGATTATGGATCTGGTGTTTCATATACAACAAACGTGCATCCTGTCAACATAACGCTGCTGTTTTGGTGTTTTTTGTCGTGCAACGTGAGAGATTTCCGTTAACATTCTATAGCTTCCATGCTAATTCCTGTGACCATTAAAGAATCTGACTCATTTGGTCAAACTCTGTCTCATACGGCTGTAATGATACGTTTTGTTGTTAGTGAGCCCCCAGGAAGTGGACAGGCCAGCGGAAACACCTCCTCCTGTAGGGAAACCGGTTTGAGACGGCTGTCATTTGTAGATCAGGAGGCGAGGCTTTGGAGGCAGCATGCATTTGAAAGATAAGCTATCAAAATGTTTCAAGGACCTTGTTTTAACAACTCCACCTAGACATACCCTGCTCAGTTAAAAAAAGACACCTCGGGCTTCAATGCACGGTAATTTGTCCATTTAGGAGTCGTTTTTCTTTTTCTTTTGGACAAACTCTGCAGCAAATCGCAGCTTTCTTCACCCCTGCTGGATTGTAGCGTTTTGTTGGACTAGTGCATGATGTTTTCGACCTGCTATTTTGTATGTTTTTGTTTATGTTTGGTCTGACAGGTGGGCAGGATGGGGGAGCGGACCGTTGGCGGCCCAGTGGCTGCGATCTCTCCAGTGCAGCAGATGCTGGCCTCTGGCACTGGAGCCCTCCTCACATCTCTATTTGGTTAGCTTATATAGAAACAACGAGAGCAAGAGCCGTAGAGTTTTTACTCCCATGTTTTCTTCCTTTTTGATTCTATTTGCATCTCTTTTGCTGCCCCTGTTGTGATTGGGTGTGTGGATTTGTTTACAGTCACTCCGCTGGACGTTGTGAAGATAAGGCTGCAGGCTCAGCAGACTCCCTTCCACCAGGGTAGGAAAACTGTTTCCTCGTGTCGCGTTAAGATGCCTGGTCTCTAACTGCTTTTGCGTTTGAAACTAACCCCTGCAAACGGCTTTCTTTCTGCTCCACCTTGGCTTCGTTTTCCAGCTTTGGGCCGTGAATCCGCTCCATGGGGTGGAGTCGGCCGCTCATCCAAATGTGAGTATTGATCTGCTGCAGCAGCGCACCGCACCCCGGTCTGATTGGAAAACATATAGGGCTGAAACGATTAATTGGATTAATGGGGATTATTGAACTAATTGTCAACTAATTTAGTAATTGATTAATCATCAATTAATCAGGTAGTTTAATCTGGGGATTCAAACAAGCCGCTGCTACACAGAGCAGCTGTTACGAGTTCTTTCACTGAAAACAAACCATATAAATAATAAAGATGCGAGCGGAAACGATTTATCACTATTAATTGATTATTGAAATAATTGCTAACTAATTTAGTAATTGATTAATTATTAAGTGCAGTATACATACTCAAAATCATGCAATTTGCAGAAAGAACAACACAGAGCTGTAATTAAGCCAAGATGTAAAATAATATATAGATTTTGCAATTTAGATTAAAAAAAAAACAACAACAAAATGTTTCTGTAAATAAATTTTTTTAGTAAAACTCCTCAAGTGGCAGTTTAACTTCACTCGGTTCAAATTCTGTAAATAAAACAATTTCCTATTAAGCACCGTTTATTATTCAATCATTAACTGGAGCAAACAGACTGAAAAAGGCCATTTGCTGAAAAAACAACAGACTCTGAGCTTTAACTGAGCCAAAAATGTACAATATATGTATACATTTTGCATTTAAGATCCAAAAAAATATTTTGTCTGTGATTATTTTGTACCCAGAACTCATCAAGTACCAGTCTCAGCTTCAAATGGTTCAAATTCTGTTTTTAAAAAATCTCAACTTTAAACACCTTTTGATATCTAATTATCAGTATTTAAAAAATAATCAACATATCAGCCCTACACCTTATTGATATGTCAAGCATAAAGGGCTAGGTCATTATTGCATTTTATGTAATAAAACATTTATTTTCTTATGTAAGATTAATTGAATTTTTCATTTACATCTTTTCATTCATTTCTAATATTGTAAAAAATGCTGCAAAATGTGCCACTTTTTTTCCATCTCAATAATTGATAAGTAAAATAATCGTTAGCTGCAGCCCTATGAATATATTCCTGTTCAGCCTGGATGAACTCTTTCTGCTTGTGAAGCTAAAATAACCTCCGATAGTTTATTTATTTGGTCACTAATCAACCCAAAATAAACTGTAGCAAGGTCGGCCTGGTCTTATCTTCAGTGTCGTTGCCCCGTTTTTGTTGTTTCACATCCAGAAGCAAAGTTTGAGGGGAGAAAGTAAACATGTGCGTTATTGATTAGCATGCTGCTTCTGAAGCTTTGCTGTGTGTTTTGTCTGCAGGGAAATGTTTTCTGTACTGCAACGGCCTGATGGATCACATCTACGTCTGCCAGAACGGAACCAGCTGCTCCAGCTGGTACCGAACGCCGACGCATTTCAGTGGCACTTTGGTGAGCTGCATCACAGCTGCAGGTTTCAGATGATTTTTTAATATCTGCATAATTCACTGAGATGTTGTTTTTTTTTTGACGCAGGATGCTTTTGTGAAAATCACCCGCCATGAGGGACTCCGCTCTCTGTGGAGTGGGCTCCCACCGACGCTGTGAGTTTCAGGGCGACGCTTTGGTTTCTTTCTATTTTTGAGGCGTTATTGTTTTATCTAAATGCAGTCCGGCTCGTTTTGCATTTTACTCTGTTCAGATTCAGTTTTCCTTGAACTTCAGGAAACTTTCCATGAATTCAAAAGAAAACAAGCTGGAGGCCAGGGGAGGGGGTGAGATGTTTGTCCACTCAGCAGGTTTCTGCTCAGAGCTAACATTCTCAGACAGTCTGGCTACAACAGACAGAAACCTGCTCATGACTGCAGTGATGCGGCCTAGTCAAAGGTTTTTCACACATTATCTGAACCGATTCAAGTCGGCAAACCGGAATCGTTATTTTGGTTAAACATGAACATCACAGTCTGCTCCTGGATGATTTTTGAGATTTTATTTTCCAAAATAACAGGAACTTGAGAGTCAAACTGAATAAAGTTTCAGAGCAGATTGTCTGAAACTTGTTTTACCAGAAGCTAAATTACAATTTGGGTATTCAGTCAAAGTTAAAAATGAAGAAAAATCAAATTTCCATAAAGTTTCTGTTACTGAATGCCCTCTAGTTTTACAAATGTTTTTCTTTCTAACATTGTAACCTTGCATGGCCTTGCAGATCTCTGCATATTTAAAACTTGATTTGTTCTTTCAAAGATGTATTCAAATGCACACAAATATAAAGAAATTATGAATACAAAATAAACGTCTGCTTTCAGAAGTTACACAAACATTACAATTTGACTCCCAGATTAGTTCTATGTTTAACATTATAGAGGTTAAGCATAACCTTTATGTGACCTTTTATACATGTTCCAGGTCAAAAACTACATTTATGCACAGACACAAATGCAGCATGGTGTGTTTATGTGCTGTTGGAAAACTGGGTCATGTGCATGTTCTGTTGTTTCCTGTGATGGAGAATCAGGTCTAAGTTAGGAAAAAGGCAATTATCAGAATAAAGTCATAATATGGAGAATAAAATCATAAAGTAAAATTTGATTGATTAATTGAAATATGTAATGATACGAGAATTAAGTCCTAATTTGATGATGATGACACCTTGAAAAATAATTAAAATGTGAAAATAATGAATGTTTAGCATCTTGTGAAGTTATACTTTGGTATCGATTTTACAAGTAAAGAAATAATGAATCTTTTAAGACATTATTTGATCAAATTATAATCAATAGCAGAATTTTGAAGTGATTGTAGAAACAACTGAGTTTATTTTTAAAGAATCAATCTGTTCATGTCAGATCCTGATCTCTGGAAACTTTGCTCTTATTAAAATAAAGTTTTTTACTTTATTCTGCTGCTG